GTTGAAATACAGTACTGTTTCTCAGTCTCAGTCTTTCATTTCTTGTCTACAAGAACCTAGAAACTATAAACTTGTAATAACTACAGGTGTCATTGCTTAAAAGTTAATGTGCTTTTCAAGACTTTTTTACTTCCCTAGAGAGGCAGGGTGTGATACAAGGAGTGTGCATGCCATGTGTGTGCGTGTAGCTGTGGGATTTTTCATACAGGCAAAATGGCAACAACACCGATGGTTTACAACACTTCCATTTCCACAAAACCTTGGGCCAACACAGCAGATTCAGCATTCAGTTGTACAAGGCAAGAATATAACTGAAGTTCATTTCCTGTCTATTTTCTCTTTGGCTTCACAGCTTTCCTCTTATCTGTCATCTCCTGTCTTCACATATATGCAAGTTTAACATTAGGCAAGCTGTCCATGATCCTGCTGCCGAGGAATGTGATATTATGTCTTCTCTACCCAAAGTGCTGAAGGCTGTTAGGTACAAATGTGTTGCTGATGTACAGTTCATCAGGCATTTCTATCTGCTTTCTGGTTTTATGTTTAGCACTGACTGTAAAGAGGAGCTTGCCGGCAGGCAAAGTGCCAGTCCTGTTGGGAAAGGATAAGATATTTTGCTCTTACAGCTCATGGATATTGTGTGTGTGAGTGACTGTGGCAGCTCCAGCTGGTGATGTGTGTAGGAATAAGAAGGAAGTTGCCCCGCAGACTGGGGCACTGGTCACTGAACCCTGAGCATTTCTTATACCTTTAGTGAACGTAATAGAGGTGCACTGGCATCCCCTTGGAGATGCTGGGAGAATACACTTAACATGATAGGTCCATTGTTAGGAATTGATCCACTTGGCACTAGTTAGTCCCCCCACATCCCATTACTGGAAATTCCACTGGATGACCAGGGAACATCACATTCATGTTCTCTGAGACAGAATCTGGCCGCTGCACATTTTCATAGAGCCAAGGTGACAGTGGGCAGGTCACAAGTCTTCGGTAGCCAGACATATCTACAGTGGCCATAAGGGCCATAAGAAAGGCGATAGGAGTGATGGATTTTTTTCTTTTGAGCCACCTGTAAAATCCTAGCACTTGATTCATTCATGTGGTAAATGTCTGATATGAAGAAGTAAAAGTGTTATAATAACCTTTGCTTTCTGGAGCTACTTGGAAAATCTACAGCTCCAGGAAGAGATTCTTTGTATTTCCCCTTCAACAAAGAATGTCACAACAGAGGTGGAGGAGAGGATGTGTTTTGCCTTATCCGCTCTGCTGTAAGAAACAGGGAAGTTAACATTTTCAGGGAACTGCAGAAACACGGGTCTTGGCTGATAATAGGAAGAATTAATATTTAATTAAACTTGGACATCATATTAATCATGTGTGTATATTACGCCTTATATTCATCCATCACACTGTCATACCAGGACATAATAAATAGTCTTTATGAGCACAGGAAAACAGCTTTAGCTTGAAAGGAAGCAGAAATGTAGAATAAAGAAATGTCTTTATTTCAGCTTTTGACTAAAACTATTGATAATCTTAGAGACATAATTACTTTTCTCTCAGTGAATAAATAGCTGCTTAAGTGCCCAAACCATCACATACATCAAATCACCAGCTACTACAAAAACTGGTGTGACTTCAGTGACTTCAGTTAGCATACACAGATTTCTATTATCTGACTCCTGGGGCCATTGAATGGAAATCCTGCTGAGCTATGGAAAAGTGGCCAATGTGTTTCTCTGCCTCCCTCAGTAAAATTGTCACCCACACTCTGATTATGGAACCTTGTTACCCATAACAGTGTAGGGCAGCAGGAACCCAGCTTGACTTCTGAACACAAGGGAAGTCATGGTAGCAGCAGTTAGCAAAAAATCTATCTATATAATCTTTTGACATGTAAGTGGAGGAAAATTGCTGCTGAATCACTGGGAGGGAAGAAATATGAGAGCTTAAGATGTCGTTTTTACAGGCATAATTTTTACTCTAATGGCCTTTAATAGCATGTACAAGTCAGTGTAATGCTGTCAGCTGCAGCAGAGATAGAGGTACAGAAATGTAATAACTCAAACTGCTTGGAAGAATTGTTTTCCTGCTGTAGTTAATTAGCAATGTGTCGTGGTTTTCCTTTTCTGTTTGCTTATTCAATGTTTGAAATGGTAGCTGGTGTCTTGGCTGTTCTTTCCCACATATTTATTGAATTTCTTCTTTCGCTTTTTCTGCAAATAAGTGTAGTCTCTTGTGACTTGAGTAACTTGCCATCAGGCACGTTACAGGAATCCTTTGATGTCCAGCACTGAGTGGCACTTCACATTAGGTATCTCTCAGACAGTAAACAATTAAATATGCCAGCTCTATCTCCCTTGTGTTTAGAGTCAGAGGAGCAGTTGCACATAATGCCAAGAGAAGCACCATCTGTCCCAATAAGCACTCAAAAACATTACTGAAAATACCTGTTTGAATTCAAAGGTCAGTTTATTTCCTGGGGAAAGGAGATCTGGAGAGCAGGGGGAAATCGTAATGCAACAAGCTCCAGCAACACGGGACAAGGTTATTCAAACACATTCTGGCTGTCATGAAGAGGGTAGTTATCCTAGGAACAAAGGAAATATCTATTCTATCCTCTGAAATCATTAAGATACTGAAATCTGACCATGATGGTCCTCATGGTCTGGTAGACTCAGAAAAATGTAGGATGGAAAGGCCTTTGGAGGTCTCTGATCAATTCTTCCTCTCAAAACAGGGCCAAACTCAAACTTAAATCTGTTTTCCTTTAATTGGGTTACTCAGGGCCTTACCCAGTAGAGTTTTGCATGTCTTTGAGGCTGGATACCATTGCTTGCCCCACTCATGATCCAATGAAGGCGAGCTCCAAAACTAAGTAAATCCTGTTCCTGTAAATTATTTAGCTTCTCCTTTTCCCTCATGGAAGGAATGTGAGGGCCATGTTACTGGGGACAGGAATCAGACCCACTGACTGCCGTGACTGTTAGCGTGAACTCCATGAGAGCAACATTTCACCCAGTGCTTTAAAAGAACAGTTCCTGTCAAATACACCACTTCTTTGAAGGTGAAACTTTTCAGAGGAACAGCCTGATTTTCATGCATGCACGAAACCAGAAGGGAATGTAGAAATGATGAAATTGAACTAGTTGAATGCTTCTTTCAACATTTTTCCCCTGTGACGTTTTGAATCTTATTTCAGAGAGACTTTAAAAAATGTTTTCTTTTGACACTTTGATATTATTTCAGCCCTTTGTGTGGAATATATTGACTGATTTTACCAAAATAAAGCAATTCAGTTGATTCCACATGACAAAAAAAAAAGTCTTAAAAATTTTGGAAATTCATATATTGTTGTGCCTATTTAGCACAAAACTTCTGTTTCCCACTCAAATCTTGATGAAATAAAATAAGCACCTCAGGGATGTCTCTCACATACACACAAACTGTGTATATGTGTGTGTTCATGTGTCATATTTTAATGTGCTGCTGGCACTTAGAAATGCTCACGGTCATCTCCTCAAGCTAGTGGTCCAGCATTAGTGTGTGTTTCTAATTTAATGTCTCTGATGATTCTGCTGACCTCATAAAACCTTGTATAGGTATTCAGCAGTGAGGCTCTCTCTACATACACATCGTACCTTGATGCTGAGGCTTGACTCAGACACATCTCTGGCAGAGATCGTTCATTCCCTCTGTAGTAACTGAAGCTGTGGCCACATCTTCAATGCAGTGCTCATATCCTATGGGGCCCCATGTTGCATAACTTCTGTGCTTGCCAAATCTAGAAACTACATCTACCAAATGATCATTATTCATTCACTAAGAAAATGTATTCATCAGGCACATAACTGAATGATATGTTTAGTTATTTAGAGGACCTGAGAATTTATGGGCACTCATGTGTCTCTGGACCCCAGCTCGCTGACACAGCTCTGGGGACATCACTACTGCCCTGTTTTCATGAAGTGTGCTGAAAGCCCAAAATCTGAAGATCAAAAATATTTCACTGGGAACCTGAGACAGACTGTCAGGTCAGGACCACCAAAAAGCTGCAATAGGATGATACGGTTGCTCATCTGATAAGCTTATGGGCATATGCTAATTTCAGAGCAATTAGATTTCCAGTTTTAGGTTTGATAGACCTTCCTGATATAGAAATTTGCTAGCAAGTGGGTAGCCCAGGGACCAAACAAAAAGAAGAGTTAATTTATTATCTCTTTGAGAAGGCATTTTTAGTTCATGGCTAGTTGTTATATGAAGAGCAGGGACCTGTTGTACTATGAGTATACTGGATGGTCCAGGAGGAGAAAAGAGTGTGCAGGGCATGTCTCCTTGACAGTGAAAAGACTAGAAGCCCCATGCAGACATTTTGCCCTGTCCTTGTGGCAGAAGGTTAGAGTCCAGCCAGACAAGAGGCAGATTCCTGGGAGGTAGAAAGGGAGCTTGGTTATGGAAAAACACACTTCATTTTACTGACATTTTCACAGCTTTGAAACACTTTTCTAATTTGCAATAACAGCTTTTTCAGTCTTATCAAAATAGATGTCCACTGCAGTTAGGAAAACCCCAACATTTACTCAGTTATGGCTAAATGGAAGGAAGGTATTCTCATTCATCACAGTAAGGAGGGTGCAGACAGCTTTGTGACTAATTGCAGAGGAAGCGGAGGGATGAATATGAAGTCATTCCCTGGCTCTGTGACCTCAGACAAACCACAGCATTGATCTGTGCCTCATTTTCCCTAGCTGGAAAACAGAAAATACTAGCTTTCCCCTGTAAGGCACTCTGAAACCTTATTTATTC